AGATTTGTGAGTAATCGGAACACGATACGGCGCTACTTTCCTATCTATCGATTAACTCGTACAATTGTAAATGTATTCTTTTCTTGTATTTGGCAGCCATGGTTAATGCCTTCGTCGCGATTCAACCAAGGAGACAATTTTCTAAATTGTTGGCTCTTTGGAAAAAATTCTTCACCCCTGAAACTCGGATTTCTTTTTCACCATTCATACTTCCTCAATATTCAAAAGATTCATGCATTCGTAAATTCTTAACGAGCGTCTACCAAAATTATCTAAACTAAAATTAGTTATTGATTAAAATTTTTTTTTTCTATACGAAAAATCTTTTGCACGCATTTATCGACTTCCGATTTTTTTTTCTTTTTCATTTTTCAAAATTATCGAGATTCTTCGTTTCGAGCTGAAAATTCTCGAGAATCTGCGATTCGAGATTTTGAAGAATCTTGAGAAAGGAATCCAAGAAAAAGCGTTTTTTTTTTTAAATAGCATTTCTCAGCTTCCAATCCTCAAGTTCTATCTTTAATTCATTCTTCCATTGCACGAAAATTGGTTTACAACCAACGTTCGTTAATTAAAAATTCGACCATTCAATTATATTATTTTCTTATTTCTCTTATCACATGTTAATTGGTAATTAACTGAATATTAAATATTTTTATTAAAAGATTCGAATTTCTAAAGATAATAATTTTTCCTCTTTTTTATCTATCGATATTTTTTTTTTCTCTCTCTCTCTCTTCTCTTTTATCACGCATACACATTAATCGATCAACCGATTTACATCACGATACTTAATTACTTTCTTTCATTGTACAACAATCATTCGATCGCCAATTCAAAAATTCCATTTCATCAAACGTAACAATTTATTTTTCGACAGATAATCGGAAATCGTTTCTTTCCAAGCCTCTATATAACATCAATAATTTTATTCTATCTACTCTTAACTCTTATTTTCTTATCACTGTACAATTGCATTATCGTACATTGCACTGACGTTAGAACAACAAATGTTCTTGTTTTCTAATAAACAAAACAAAAAAAATGTTACATAACTTTTATTCAAAAGGAAACAAAAATTATCGAGAATCACTTTAACCAATTAAAGTGCAATCTTAAGTGTCATATCCTTCAATCCCTTGCCTTACGATCTTTTCTTTTTATTTAACCCTTTAAATTTGTAATCTAATTTGTATATATTTTCCGTTTAACTTTTCAAGTTTTCATCATTCAACCTCAAAATCGTATCACCAAATTTCTTTCTCTACTCTGAAACATCTTTTGCCTTATCTTCTAAATCCAACAGCAACAAATCCAAATTTTTAATACAAAAAAAAACTACTATAAACAATATAATATTTCACAACAAAACTTCTTTTAAGCGTTCCATTCTTCAACATAATCCTAACATCCAACTTCTTTCCTTTATATCAGGCAAAATCATAATTCCTTCCTTGGTCCGCGAACGTGACCCGATATCACGAGGCAAGGGGTTAAATTCTCGTCGAAATCGTTCGGAGCGAGAATCGCGGAAAAGACACTTTCAGCTTAGAACTAAAGGTGTGACGTCGTAAATACAAGAGGGTGCAGGCGACGCAGAACTTTAATTCCTCCTCCTCCTTCCTTCTCCTATTCATTCTCGTCTTTCTCTCTTTCTCTTATTTGGCGTGGACAGAAGGGATGCACGATTAGAGGGTGGAAAGAGATCGCGATCGAAATTCCAGCCACGTTTGTGTACGCCAACACCTCGCGTTTCCCCCGCCCTTGGAAAATTTTTCGATTTACTTCGATTAAATTCCATCCCTTTCGATGTTTCTTCTCATTGGATCCGAATAATACGAGTGATTTTGTGGAATTAGCAGAACGATCTCTGAATGCAACAACCCTTTGCGCTCTTGATCTTTATTCGATATTATTTATTTTAATTTGGGATGGAAATTCAATTGAAATTTTGATTAAGATATTTTATTTTAAATGATACCCCAGGAAATAAGGTTAGTGCGACATTTATTTTTTAATCCTTGTTCGTATTATATTTATATCATTTTACATTGCAGGGGATGAAAAAAGAATTGGTGAAAAGAATTGTTAATTTAACAATTATATTTTTTCAATTCATTTCATTTACATTAAGATGGAATTAGATTAAAAATTGGAATAAAAATCTTTCCAAACGAGCCACCACCAGAACTACGAACTTTTGAAACGGTGGAAGTTTAGATGCTCAATTGAGAAATTCCATTGCGGTGGCCCTCCCGCATTCACCACCAGTGGAATTCGTAGCAACACAGCAATTCTCACAAGTTCTCGCCTAATCATCCTGTTCATGCGAATATGTCCTCCGAGACGCCAGTGGAGCGTGAATTTCACCTCCACCACGTCTCGTGCAAGAATCTCTCCTGGGGAGCCTTACTAATGAGTCCATTAGCAGGCCCTGGACGACACGCCATTTTTCTTTCTTTTCACTCATCCTTCTTTTCATTCCCTTACCTTTTTTCTTTCTTATTCTTTATATTGGATAGAGGGGGGATGCGCGTGTCATGAATTTGAATGTCACAAAAATTTTTGAATACGATCAAAAAATAAAAAATGAACCTTGTCCTTCCGATTAAAATATCCATAATGATAAATTATGGAACGTGAAAATCAGAAGGTTTGGTTTAATGAAAAATTTTGCATGCGAAGAGAGACATGAACGTGTAACAATATTGTATGAGAAAGGAAAAATTCTATATCTGGAAGGAAAAATATGTATGTATATATATAATAATAACTTTTAAAATATGAAAATGGAGAATATTCTGTGAAAGAAGAACGTTATGTATAAAGAAAACAATATAGAAGATATGTATGGAATATGGAAATTGGAAAAATTGGTAAATAATAAAGGAAAAATTCAATGTAAAGGATATTTATAATAACAAGATACGAAGATATAAAAATTTGATGATACAATAGTGGAAAAATCCTTTCTGTCTACCTTCTTTATTGGAGTTGTGTTTAAGCCTGTATTGTAAAAGGACGGAATATTGGCAGTGTTTTAAAATTAATTTTGATCCCTTTTTCAGAGATATTGGCTTCGTTTTTGTACTTTTTAGAAAAAAGTCATTTCTTAATTTATAGAAATATAAAATTTAGGCATCGACATTTTTGGAATAGAAATTTTCATCCTATATTTTAAATATAAGACTTTTTTCAAATTTTAACCAATTTTTAAATTATAAAATCACTCTTATCATGATTTGATATAAATCGATAAAGAATCAGAGCGCAAAAGATTAGATATCAAATATCCAAAAATCGTACGATATTCTCAACCGAATTAAATTTAATAAAAATATTAAAATTTCCAATACACGTAAATCGAAATTCGAATCGAAATGATTCATAAAATGCATTCAACTATGCAAAAATTGAACTATATAATACTAAAAGTGTTATACGAGACGCATAAAATTGATAAAAGGTAGTCGTACGATTTTTCAGAAGGAAATCGGGTCGTTCTCACGCGTCATCTTCGACGACAACGACGTCCTCGATGTCGACGACCATCCACCTCGACCAAGAAAGCATCGTTGTGTCGATTCTGAAAATGCATTTCTCGTCCAATTTTTGCCAGATTTCATCCATGGGATCAGTTGGAGGAAGCGACGAGGGGAATTCATCGTTTGCAGCCACCATTAAATACCGAATACTTATCCTTATTTTAATTGGTAGTCTATAGCGAAGAATTATTTTAGAACGTTCTTATTAATTAATGTTCCTGAATTTGTGGAAAAATCGAATGAACCGAAGTTCGTTTTCTTTTTCAATATGATAATTTAAGAAGTTTCTAAAAGAATTTAAGAATATTAAAAATTATAATAAAATTGAACGGTATTTAAATATAATATATGGAATTAAGAAAATGTTTGTTAATATTTATATTTATAGTTGAATATTATTTACAGATTGTTTTAATTGAGAAGGAGAAATCAAATTTAAAAATTACTAAGGTATTAAAATTCTTTTTAAAGAAGTTAATAAAAATATTGAGAATTATATTAAAATTATAAAATGTTAATAATCTTTATATAAATATTGTATATAGAGTATTAATTGATAACAATAGTTATTTTTTAATTGGAATAATAATTTTTCAATAATGGAAAGATATTAGAAAATGAGGAAAATTATTGAATGAAATAAATTATAAAAAATTTGGAAAAAAAAAGAAATATAATTATTATATCTCTTCTGTTCATCGGTTTTCACACAATCAGGGACAACGGTCTAACGATATTTTACCAATCAACGGATTTCAGGCTTACTGCTAGTCGATTGTACACTCGTCACTTCAACAATTATCTCGTCGATCGACATCGTTCGCTATCAATTCTTTCCTGTCATTGTTCCAAACATTTCGATTCAACAACAAAATCATTCTGACCATTTAACGTTCTTCCAACTTTGTCATATCAGTCTTCATCATCCACTTGTTCATGAGAAAACATTTTTCAAACAAAATCTCAAATCTTTGATCTCTTTCTTTTTTGTCACTCAACAATTCTAGTACGATTAGTATTAAACATACTAATTTCTTCGATTTTCTCGACACTTTTTTTTAACACTTCCTTCGTTTGAAAAAGAAGAAACTTTTAACTTTTCTTCGAATGCTCAGCAAAGAAGCACATGGATCCATTAGAGGATTCTTCAAGAGTCTATTTTGAAAGCAAGAGTCTAACTTTTGCTTTCAAAATTCTTTTTCTTCAGTCATCGAAAGTTAAGGCCAAAAATTTAAAATCACTCTTCTACGTTGAATTAAATTAAAAATTGCGTAATTACGTGTATCGATAATAATTTTGTTTACTTCTTTAAAGGCTTTTGAAAAATTTTCATATAATAAAATTCCTAAGTCGATTCTCTTTTTCAATTTCTTAAGGGACACTTGGTAATTCCAAACTTTTGGCCAGAATACCAAATCCATTTTTTCAAATAATCCAGTTTCTTTAACTTCCGCACTTATTTCTCTGTCCATTCACTGAATGTTCATTTAAATAGCGATCAAATCATTGCACAGTTCCATATCGATCGAATTATTTCAATTCCTTCTTTTCATACACCAGAAGTACATATAAATATCGTCAAACATAGTCAAACTTCTTCAGTCACCATTTTTATCTATCAAAATCATCTTTATCGATCGTATTGACAAAATAATCGCGGTCCAGCAAACAATTTTTGCGGTTTGTAAGTGTCCATTCATCGTTCGAACGACGACGATTCGTCAAAGTTTGAAAAAACACCATCACAAATCACTGTAATCTCACTATTAGAAACAGTTTGGCCAACATAGATTTCTCTTTTCAAGTCGAAAACACATCACAAAGTAAAGATGAAAAGAGTTAGATCTTCTAAAGGAGATATTCTAAAAACGTGGACACGATGATGTTGTGGTTCTCTCGAAAAGGGGATTCTCGATCATTCCTGTCGATATACTCAAAGAAACTTCAATCGAGCTACCTGGAATTCTACCAGCCAATTTTCTTTTGTTTCCTTTTTTTTCGGTAAGAATCGCTTAGATTCCTCTCATGTCTTTTCTCCTTTCTCTTTTTTTTCTGGTTGATCGATTGATCTTGTTTTTTCCATTTTTATTACTATCTTCTTTCGAAAGGGAGAAATTGTTTGGTTGATGGATGGTTCTCTTGTGGCAGTTTTTTTTATAAGCAGTAAAAATCAATGGATTTTTCAGAGACACTATCTTTTCTTCGTGTCTCTTCTAATTTTTCAGAATTCTTTTCTTTTTATAATTAAATGCACATCGTTTGTTCGTTACTGTTTATTCTCAAAGTTCAAGTTATTAAACTCTTTTCAATATCTTTTATTCTTCCAAGATTTCTTCCAAGTTCAATTTATAAATTAATTCCTTATTCCATTCAATTCCGAAATCTTTCTTCTTAATCATTTCCAAACTATCAGCACCATGTCACTTTCAACCGATCCACATCTTGTAAAAAATTTCCTTATTTATTAATAATCCACAATATTTCCAATCTTCAAGATTCGAAGATCCACATCTCAGATTTCATCCTCGAATCTTTCTCACAATTTCACACGATTCCAATTTTCTCCCTGGGTCCAAATAACGTGGCAAATATTCCCATTCCAAAGAGATAAGATTGGCAAGGACCTACTCGAAAACGCTCTCGGCGGCTTCCCTGATCTTGACGATAAGGAAGGATCGTCTGCAGAGCTTGACGAGCAGCTCGATCCTCTGTCAGGATGGTTTCCTCAGTTGTGGAAGAGCGATCAGGTAGATGTTGCCCAAGATGGCGCCTACGACGAGAAGCATCACGCTGATGGCGGATAAGAGGCGAACGAATCTGACGAATCTTCGTCCCCTTGCGTCCTTTTTGCTCTGGTTTGGGAACACAGCCAGCCCCAAGAGAGGTCCTGCCAGTGCACCAGCTACGTGCGCGGCCCAACCGACTCGACCGCAACCTAGAAGGGCTGGGATTGGCAGTGAAGCAACGTCCGCACTGGCTAAGAGTAGTACCGCGCCTAGCCGCCAGCCGGCATAACGGAGCTCTCCGTGACACTGGAAATTAGAGATGGAATACATAGATGAATTTTGTTATTCAATGGTTTATGAGTTGTGATGAATAAACGAACGATGAAATTGGATTGAGATTATTAAGGAAGTTTTTAAGAAATTAATTAAATTAAGTAAAATTAATAATTTTTTAAATTTTTTATTCCAGAAAAATTCTTCTGGAAAAATTTGGAGAAACGCTTGAATTGAATGATGAATGTCTTGGAGGAACGTTTTAAAAGAGGATTTCCAGCAATAAAAGAGAAAATTAAATTGAAAATACTTTTAAAATCAATAATAGAAAGGAAAAGAAATTTGTTACATATATAATGATAATTTTACAATTTTGAGAAGATGCTCAATGAAGCATGTTTCACAATATCATAATGGTAATTAGCAATTTTTTTTGTAACTTACCAAATAAAGGTGTGCAAGATGGCTGGTAAGTAAGGCATATACACCTGCCGAAGCACCAACCAAGAAGAGGCTTGGCTGAAGAAGAGATGCCCCGAGTGCTCCGCAAACGCCACCTCCTAAATAGATGGTTGCCACTCCTATTCGACCCTGTTCCACCTATGATCATCGATAATTTCTTTCCTCCCATACATTTTCCATGCCGTTAGAAGAATTTCTTGTAATAAATAGTTTACAGAGAATGCTTCGTTAATACAAATAAAAATAGAATTTTTCGTCTTTTCATAAAAATTTCAATTAAAAAAATCTTGACCAAAGACGTTGAAAAGAAAAAAAATTGAAGGATATCAAAAGAAATTAATGTAAGAATTATTATAAATTACTCAAAAATTTCAATTTTACGTTATAATAAATTCAAGAACAATACAAATATATACAGATTTTACAAAGAGAGATGTAAGTATATAAATAAATTTTTATTATAATTTATAAAAGTCCATAGTAATTTAGGTCCATTGGAAAATCCACGCAAATCCTGACGGCGTTTTTAATCTAGCTAATATCGTAAAATAAGGAAAAAGAAATTTCAAAGAAGGAAATCATTTTTGAATTCAATGGACACGGATCGATCGGTCTACCGAAGGATACACATTGCGGGAGGTCGCCGTAAAGGGTGGCCAGCCAAAGGTAGGCAATTAGTCTGATTAACTCACCTCGAGAGGGGTGGCCAGCACCAGCTGGATGACCACGTTCAACGCAAGGTGAAGCGCGTTCGAGTGCAGCAGCATGTACGAGGCGAACCTCCATCCTTGCACCCTCTGACGGGGGTCGTAGACCAACCACCTGCGCAGCGTCGCTTCGTCTCCCAGACAGTGTACGGCTATCTGTCGTCATCCAGAATGCGATTTCATTGCCTCGTGTTCTGGCGTACCATGAATATAATGTGCACGATAAATGGTGAACCGTGCAAGGTGAGTTTTTTGAGTTTTTTAAAAGAAATGCTTTGTGTTTTAGTTTCTATACAGTACACAGTACACATTACATTGAATATTTATCTGGCAGTATTGGGAATTTAACGAAATTTTGTCGATGGATTTGTTATTACCAGAGATATGATGATACATTAAAGGAATAAAGATTGTAGAAAAAAAGTTGTATGACTGTATTTAGATATTTGTTCCTGGCAAGAAAAATATTTTTAGAGGTAAGTATTTAATATGTATTGAATGTTCATATTTACAATTGTATTGTATTTTTTTTTAGCTAAAATTTAATTGTATAATGATTACAGGATGTTGGATGGTGCTAAGTAAAGGAATTTTGCATTATTGTGAATTTACGAAAGATGTTTAAATCAATTTAATAATTTTACGTATAAATTAAACATTTTAATTTGTTTCTGATACAATAGATGGATTCGTATCTAATTAATATTCAAACTAGCTTGCAAATTATTGTTCCAATAATCCAATACACTATTTCATTTCATCAATATTATACAGCATGTAAAATTAATTAATTTATCATAAATATCGTCGAATAATCCTCACTTATTTGCTCAAACGTGCACCAAAGGAGAGCACGTAATGGAAAAAGCACAAATCTTCAACTGGTTGCCTATTGGAAAAAAAAAAAAAAAAAA